AACAGTGGGGACTGGGGTAAAGTGGCGAGCATATGCCTCATCTAAAGGGGCAACCTCTAATCAGCTGAAGCCACCTGCTGCCATGTGACAATGTGAGTTAGGCACAGACAGACACCTCGATTTTTATGTAAATTTTTTACCATTCTGTATGTTAGAAATAAATGCAAATTAAAAAACAAACTGCGGCGGGCCAAACAAACCATCTACAGGCTGCATTCAGCTCTGGGCTGCAGGCACTTTGGAGCCTCTGAGGCTAATTGTGTGACTTGGACCTATGACCTTTCTGAGCCTGTGTCTTCATCCCTCCAGCAGGCAACCCCCCACCCCCGCCGCCTGTGCTGGTCAGTGGCAGGACTAGACGGTTCAGGGCCTGTAAAGTGCCTCCCACCGTGCCTGGTACACAGTAGATGCTGAATGACCTTAATCTCATCTGTCCCCTCCCCAAGCCAAGCAGCCACCTGTGTCCCCACATACCTCCCTCCCCAGGGGCTTGCCTTGGCATTGCCACAGGAGGACCTGGAGAGCTAAGACCAAGAGTTGAAAAAGGAGCCGGCAGGAGGAGGGCTGGAGGGCCCAGGGTGCAGGGCAGGGATGGGGTTCCACAGCTTAGGTGGGGCCCAAGGAAGGGAGTCGGGGGTAAGAAGAGGGTGCGGCCAGGGCTGGATCCCATCCTGGGAACAAACATGAACTGCAAGTCTGGGGAGACTGGGGACAACAGAGAGCAAGGGGCCACTTACATGCCCACCAGATGTCTTCCACTTTGGACGTTTTGGTCACGTGCCTCTCAAAAAGTGAGTGAGACTGGCATTACCAACGGCCCCATGTCATTATCACCATTGATAATCATGGCCGCTTACAGAGCACTTACTGTGTATGAGCACTTTAAGAGCTGGGTGCCACGTGGTCCTTACAATAACCCCACTAAACCTGCATTATTGTGATCCATACTCTAGCGATGAAGAAGCTGAGGTCGGAGAGGACGGGTTGCTTGCCTTTAACAGCAACGTTCGCAGAGCGCGGTCCCTGTGCGCAGTGCCTCGCCAGCGCTATTTCACGCAGTCTCCAAAGACGGCTCCCCGTGAGCCAAGCCTCCTGGGGTTTATGCTTTGTGCAGCCCTTCCCCCTGGACTCTGGCCCCCTCACTTGCTCTTGAGCCAGAGAATGCAGCAGAAGAGACACTGTGCGACTTCTGAGGCAAAGTCATAAAATAAACTTGTAGCTTCCACTTGGCTCTCTCAGAATGCTTGTTCTTGAGACACTCCCCAGGGCCCCAGCCACAGTGTTTGAGAAGCCAGTCCCACTGACAGCCCCAGCAGACCCCTAGCACCAGCCAGGACTGACTGCCAGCGTTGTGAGGGGCCCTCTGGGACTGGCAGTGCCCCAGATGACTGAAGCATCTTGGAAGACCCCAAGCCAGGACCACCCAGCTGAGAGCAGTCAATCCACTGAATCATAAGACATAGTAACACATTTTTGTTTTAAACCACTTAATTTGGAGGTGATGTGTGATAAATCAACAGAGGACTGGAACGCCACTCACAAGAGCCCCATGACGTAGTATCTCAAGCTGTACCCATTTTACAGCTGAGGATACTGAGGCTTGGGGAAGGTAAGTGACTTGGCTAAGGTCCACAGATGGTGAAGGTCAGGATTAGGATCTGCTCCCAAGCTGTCTGATCCAAGAGGCCGCCCCTCTACCACCCCTCTGCTCTGCCCACAGTGCCCAGCAGTGCTCGTCAGCATGAGGCTGGAACTCAGACTGGTGGACTCCTAACCACAGAAACTCTGCCTTCCTGTCCAGGTGTCGTTCTGGGAAGCTGGTCCTCAGAAGCCCCAACTGATAAGCTCCTGCAGCCAGTTCCTCCTCCCCGCACTAGGCCGGGAGACAGAGGCTGGCGCTGTCATGCCTGGGAGCTGGCCTCCTCCCTGGTGGGGGGTGGGGACCAGAATCTTGACAAATGGCCTCGCACATATTAAACAAGAGAGATGACACAGGCCGGTCCTGGCAAGGCCCCAAATGCGAGGGATGAAAAATGGAGCTGATCATCTTGCGGACCTCAGTGACAAGGAGAAATGGATCAGCCCTGTATAGGGGCTGCACATGGGGGCCCGGCCTTAAATAAGTCAAATGGGAATTGGGTGCCCCTGGGGAGGCCAGCCCCTGGCGGCTGAGGAGCAGGGGAGGAAGCCTGGCTTCTAGAGGAAGAAAGGTTCCCGTGGCCAATACCAGCGGGCTTGGCTGCAGACCAGGGTGGAGAACCAGGGGCTGCTGGAAAGAAAGGGCTGTGGAGGGAGGGGGTTCAGAATCCCAGGCAAGTGACCCAAACTTTCTGAGCCTCGGTATCTACATATGCAACACGGGGTAATTGTGGGTGTTAAATTTCATGTCAATAATGGTAATATCAGAAGAGTTGGTGTTCACTGAGTACTTACATGTGTCATGTGCTAAACACACATGAACTGTGTTACTATTACTCCATCATCTCGAAGAGGCAGAATATAGAGGTTGAAAGCTCCAGAGCCAGACTGCCTGCGTTCAAATCCCAGCTCTGCTGCTCCCAAACTGGGTTACCCTGGACAGGTTACTTAAGGTCTCTGTGCCTTAGTTTCCCCTCCATGAACTACCTACCCCACAGCGCTGTTGCAATAATGACACAGCAGTGGTTAATACATGCGAGAGGTTATTTTGCACGTGGTCAATACTCAAAAATGTCCGCTCCCTTCCTCTGTCTCTTTCTCTAGCTCAAGGTAACTACCAAGGTCAAGATCTCAGGAAGGGACTGCTGAGGGGTTGGGGGAAGGGTGGGTAAAAAGGAGTCAGAGCCTTAGCCGGTTTCCCTGCCACTGTTCTACTTAAAGGGATCAGGGACTGTGTTGACAGGTCAAGGTCTCTTTAGCTTGAAGGAGGAGGAGCCAAGCAGTGAGTAGGAAGGGGTGGAAATGGAGCAGGAGTCCCTCCTGGTCTGAAATGAGGTCTGTCACAACCATAGCCCCTCCTGCTCCGTTCTGACCACCCTCCCCCAAAGATGCCCTCTCACCGCCAAGGCTTCGCAGCGGCCATTCCCCTGCCTAGCACACTATCTTATTCCCTCCTCCGCCAGTTTGCCTGACCAAAGTCTCCCCCAAGGACCCTCCCCAGGGGAAGCTGGGTCAGCGACCCCTTCTCTGTGCTTCCACGGCTATCTTTGACCACCCCCCACCCTGCCTACACCATAGTGTGGTTCAGAGCATAGCTTGTTCACTTGTCTTCAACACCGTCTCAGCCACTGCTGGACTCTCGGCACTGGCTGCCCCCAGATCACTGCTCACTCAGCAAATATGTGTTAAATGGCTGAGTGGATAAATGTCCCCCAGCCACCAGAACCAGACCCGGATGACCTGCGTAACAGACAACTACGGTCACCGTGTTCCCAGCACGCATTCCTCCTTTTGATAACAGCTCACTCCACCCCCACCCCACCTCCAATTTCCCACTAGAGGACCTTCCTCCGTCTCTCTGTCCAAGAGTTTGGACCACGTGACTCAGGCCAGACCAATTAGGCCAGTCCAGTCTCCTCAGGGTCTAAATCACTGGCCCCGGTATGGTCACATGACTTCAGCTAATCCAGCAAAAGTCAAGGAGGGTCTGGGCTGCCAAGACTGGATCTCTGCTGGTGTTGCTACATTTGTAACACGTAAGCCTAGGCCTGGGCTTGGTGACCACCTTTGCTACCACCTGGGAAAAAGCTGCTTGCGAATGAAGCCAACACTAAAAGGAATGAAGACAGAAATGGGGAGAGAATGACTGAGTTCTTGGTGAATTATCTGACCACCTGGATCCAGCTGTGCCTGTAGCAGACATTGTGGTAATTCACCCAGCATCCATTCCACCCACTCGCCATGAGAGTTTTTGACTCATCCTTTGTTCCAGAGGAATGGACAGGCTGAGCCAATAAGCTCATGACATTCCTTCAGCCACGGTGATAATTCAGGAGGGAGAAAATGACCTCAGGCTCATCACAGGGAGGTTTGGGACTTTCACGAATGTTAAGGAAAGAGAAACTCTTTCTCCCCCTGTATGTGAAGGAAGAAGCACTGACCTCAAAGGAGCTTTCTCATCACTAGGAGGGAAGGCCACCCAGGGACAGAGTAAACATAGGGAGTAGCAATGCTCAGGTAACCAGAGACAGAATTTAGCCCTGATGACTGTGACTCTGGATCAAACGTTCCCTGAAGCCCATGCCCAGCTGTGTTTTCCATTTACAGGAACCAGTGTACTTACTTATTGATTGGACTGAAGTGGGTGGGCTTTTCTGTTTTATATACATAAAAAAATATATATGTATAGCCCCGCTAGCTGACCCACCTGGATTTTTCAGTTACATGAATTAACCCTTTTGTTTATTTAAGCTCGGGATTCTATTACAAGCCAAAGACTCCTGCCAGATCCTGCCTTTCTTTTGCACGCCATGCTCTGAAGTGCTGACCCCTGCCCACTGTATTCAGAACCCTTCACTAGGACCTTGACAGCTTCCATCTCCACCTTCCAGAGCAGCCTCTAAGGCAGAGGTTGGCAAACTTTCTCTGTAAAGGGCCCGATAATAAATATTTGAGGCTTTGTGGGCCATTCAGTCTCTGTCATGACCACTCAGCTCTGCCACTGTAGAGTGAAAGCAGCTGTAGACAATATGTCAATGATGAGCTTGGCTATGTCCCAATAAAACTTTATTTATGGACACTGAAATTTGAATTCCACGTAATTTTCACCTGTTACAAAATATTCTTCTTCTTTTGATTTATTGTTAAGCAATAAAAAAATGTAAAAACTACCCTTAGCTTGAGGGCTGCATAAAAACAGGTCACCACCCAGAGGCCACAGCAGGCCCACCTCAGCTCCAGGGTCTCAAAGCATATTTGGACTCTGGACTATTCCCACCTTCCTCTGCTCTCCAACTGGGCTCAGCTGCTGAAGCCCCAGCACGCCTTGGGGCTCAGGTGTCTGAAGGCCAAAAGCCACTTACCAGAAGGACCACCCGTAGTCCCAGGAATGCGGTCTCCAGTCTTCAGGGCCGAGACTCACGGTGACCTGGAACACCTGCGTGTACATCATGTGGGCTACCATTCCCAGGAGGCCTGTGGGGGGAGCAGGACAAGGTGTCAGGACGCGAGATGGGGCTTTGTCTGCCCTCTACGGGCCTGTTAGTGCTGGACCCCCAAGGAAGGGCAGTCAGCAGGACCAGGGTACAGAAGACCAGAGCGTGGTGGTTTTTTTAAGCTGGCCATGGAGTTTGAGTTTGAACCAGAGTAGCCCTGGAGAAATTTAAGCAAGGGAGACACAGAGTCAGATCTGTATATGGATGGGCAAAGATTTTCAGTTAAGGACCAGATAAGTAAGTATTTTAGGCTCTCTGTGCAACTACTCAGCTCTACCATGGTAACGCACAGGAGCCACAGACAGTACATAAAAGGATGCACATGGCCGTGTGCCAATAAAACTTTATTTATAAAAGCAGGCGGGCTGGATTTTAGCCCGTGGGCCATAGTTTGCTGAAACCTGTGTTAGAAGGTCATTTGGGAGAAGCTGCTTAGAGAGTGTTTTTCAAACTGCAGGTCTTGACTCACTAGACTAGTAAAGTCATGAAATCAACTTCATGGATTGCAACCAGAATTTAAAAAACAAACCAAGAATGGAATGGAATGGAATGGAAATATCTGGTACCATTAAATGTATCAGGAACAAATACCGGTTTGTGAAACTTTTCATTTCTATAGATGTGCGTGTGTGTGCACGCAGCGACTGTAATATGAAACATTCTTCTGTGGCTCTTGTCTAAAAGCTTGGAACCCACTGGCTGGGGGAACTTCTGATTCCAAGGGATCTGAGGCGGAATACTTTCATACCATGTGTCCACCGTGTAGGCCCTAGGCAAGGGACTTCACTCCTCTGAGGCTCAAATCTTTCAACCCTAAGATGGGGATTCTGACAGGTATGGCAAAGAGTGATGGACAAGAGGCAAGGCAGCCTCCAGGTCTGCTGCCTAGCAGGTATGCGATCGTTACAGTTACCAGGATTATTATAAACCTGGGGACCTTGCTCCATGTGGACTGTGGCATCTGGAGCCCTTGTGGGTGCCACAGTGTGTGGCCAACTGACATGGACCTGACTAAGATGGAGTGATACAGTATTGAGGAGGAGGAGGGAAAATGTAGATGACTGGAGAAAGAAACCAATCATGCATGTGCACCAACTGTGTACCAGGTACTCTGTCAGACTCTTCTATCTCCATTATTATCTCTTTTAACCTTCAGAACAACCTTCTGAAGTATGACGATGTGGGCCATGCACCGTTGTTCAGGCTGCCCACTGCACAACTCCATCCATATGGCTCCATTCACATTATAGTCCATGTGCATGTCACTCCCCGGAGTTGAAGCAGAACCACATCTCTGAGGCTGTCTACGGTAGCCTTGAATATGATTCTTCCCACCTCACAGGTGAGAAAATTGAGGCTCAGAGTGATAAAGTCTGTCCCAAGTCACAAAAAGAGTAGATGGCTTAGTTGTAACTGGGGCCCAGATCCAAATGCTCTCAAAGCCAGGGCTCTTCCCATGCTGCCTAGAATGCACCTATCCTCCCCTTGTTGCCTCAATCACCCTTTCCCCTTGGAGACAAGAGAAGAGATGGAGACAAGGAGAGGAGGGGCAGAGATAAGAAAAGACAGAGGTAAAGAGGCAGAGTGAATCCTAAAACCCAGCCCTGGGGGCAGGAGTGAGGGTGAAGGGGGACATCCTGTGTTCCCATAGTGTGAAGGTTAATGTTTAACAACAGGCTCTCCGAGGGAGAGAAAAAATTTTAAAAGCTATGATTTATAGCATTTGAATTTCCATGCTGTAAATAATCCCACCGTGGCCAATTTCAAGCTACCAATGTGACATCACTGAAAGCAGAGCAGAGGAGAGATGTGCAGAGTTGGGGCTCGTGAGCTGAGCCAGCAGGCTCTAGCACACCTGTCTCCCTCCAGTCACCTGACCCCAGGCCCCACGGAGACAGAGGACTCATAGCTGGTTGGGTGTGTCTCGGGGCTGGGGTCAGCCCCTCATGGACACTTCTCACTGCTCTCTGGTCTCAGATAAAGGCTGGGGGGAGGGGGAGCACTTAAGTCAGGAAATCCAAGGAGAGGGTGACCATGACAGGTGATGAGGTTCCCCGAGAACCCCCTAAAGGCTCAGCCTTCCCCAGGCCATTTCTGCCCATCCTTAGTGGTGCCCCAGCAGGTATGCCAGAAACCTCCTGGGTCCCCTCTGCCCTGGCTCAGCAGGTTAGAAGGAGGAGACAAGGGCTGAGACACATGAATATCTTATTTTTTGTTACTTGACACAATTCCTGGTGAACTTCCAAGAGGTACCTAACATATCTACCTATTCTTTGGAATGGATGCATAAGATTCCTTGATAATGATATACCATATTTTATTTAGCCAATCAGTTGATAGTATTTAAATATCCATAAGCAATGCTGCTATGAACACCCTTCTACAAGTCTCTGTGCAGACAAGCAAGGATTTCTTTCACGTGAACAGCAAGAGGTGTTGCCGGGTCATACGGTGTATGCATTTTAAATTTTGATCACTATCAGTGATCTGCTCTCCTGAAGAGTGGTACCACGTTATACTTCCGCCAGCTGTGTGAGGACTCACGCAAATCCTCACCAACACCTGATGTTATAAGACGTTAAAAAGTTTTGCACATTGCATGGCAAAAAATGACACCCCCATATTGTTTTAAGTTTTATATTTCCCTCATTACTCATAAACTTGGGCATTTTTTACCTATTTATTAACCATTTCTATTTCTTCTTTGACTGTATCGTTTGTTAATTTCCTTAAAAAATTCTTTTTCCTTATCAACTGACAGAAATTCTTCATGTATTCCGGGTACTAATCCTGTCTGTTGCATAGACTGCAAATAGTTTACAGCTTGTCTTTTCCATATACAGCACATCTTTTTTTTTTAAACTAATATCTTTTAATTTTTAGAGCTGTTTTAGGTTTACAGAAGAGTTGAGTGGGAAATACAGAGAGTTCTAGAGTTCCCATATGCCCCATCTCTCTGCCCCCAGAGTTTCCCGAATGATTAAGATTTTTCAATAGGGTGCACATTTGTTATAATTAATAAGCCAACAGTAATACATTATTATTAATTAAATGCATAGTTTACATTAAGGTTCACTCTGTGTGTTATACATTCTACAGATTTTGACAAATGCGTAGAGTGACATGTATCACAACCCTGCTGTCATAACTTCTTCAGTTTCTTTCTCACTAGGCCAGCAGATGCCCTCTGAGTTATTGCCCTGTCAGTGCCTAGGTTTTTCCATCTATAAAATGGGGACAATGGTAGACATGGGAAACTCCGGAGAGCATCCACTAAAAAAGAAAAATATTTATGAGAACAATGACTCCTTATACTAGGACAGCAGGACATGACAATATTTTACTACAAAAACTGGACCCAGGAGCTGGATCCAGACTGTTGGCAGAATAATTAATTTTCCAAATTGTTAGTTTAGAAAAGCATTAATTTCTCAACTGAATTCCATTTATTCCCAAATATGAAAGGTCCGTGCTTTAAGAAAATTCAATAAATGAAAATGACAAATCACTCAAAGATAGCTTGTTGATATTCTCTGATTACATTCTAAAGATTCTGCTTAAAAAATTGGACCCGCAACAAAGTTTCTGAAAGCATGTTTGTCCTGCGAAGTGAGGTCCACCACCAGGAGCATCTGCTGTAAGACTCCTTGGCAGAAGCAATTGTTTCCAACTCATTCTGAATTTAAAAGGGACTTTCTGCCGAGTTAAGGCACCTCTGAAATTAGCAGCAATGAGGCTTTCTGCGTGGCTACTGCTGCTTCCTGGCAAGGACCCACACCAGGAAACTCACAGCTGTAAATCTCTCATCATGGGGTTTCTGGAATCTCCCACTCCTAACACCACAAATGGGATTCCCAGCCTGTGTGGTGAGGCAGGCACGGCTCCTCTCTGCCCCTGGGGGACCTTGGAAAGCACGGGTTGGTGGGGAAGGGGAGGATGCTGGCCGAAGGCTCGGAGCCGGGCTGGATGTGGTGCCACCAGAACCCAGAGCAAAAGGAGCTGCCCTGACTCTCAGCCCTGCCCTCTACTGGTCAGACTGAGGAAGTCGACATCTTTTGCCAAGTTCAAAGGGGCTAGCCTGGGGCCAGAGTTAAGAGACAAGGTCGAGAGGGTCAGAAGGTGAGCCCAGAGTAAAGCAGGGGTGAAGCAAGGAGAAAGAGAGGGTCCAGCTTCCAGCTCTGTCACTTACCAGCTGTGTGACTTTGGATAGATTACCTCACCTCTCTGTGCCTCAGTTTCCTCAACTGTGATATAGGGATTATATATTAACTCTAACAGCACCTATCTCATAGATTGGTATGAGGATTAGGTGGTTTACACTGTAAAGTACTTAGAACAGTGCTTGACACACGATAAGCCCTACCTAAGTGTTTGCTGAATGAATGAATGAATGAATGAATGAATGAAAATGCCTAGGATTCTCTACACAGGTCTCCTGGACTGCATGATAGTCCAGGGACCAGGTTTGTTTTGCTCTCTACTGAATCCCTAGCACCAAGCCCAGGGCCTGGCACACAGTAAGTATTCCATCCGTGTTTGCTGAATGAATAGATGATTCATTCAATTCAAAGCTGATTGCAAGGTGCTTGGGGAGCTACGCTGGCTAGTATAAAGGTCTAGGGTCTGGGATACAGGAATGAGCCAGGACAAGGCTAGATCTGAAAACTCCGAAGAGCAAACTGTCTACGTACAGACTCATCATTCATTTATTTATCGTTCATTTCTTCAATCAGCCAATGAGTATGCATCGATATTTTCCATATGCCACGCATTTTTCATGGGGGCGTCAGGGGAACTGAAATGGACAGATGGACAATGCCTTGTTTTCAGGGGGTTTGAGGTTCTAGTGGAGCAACCCAAACAATAAGCACATAGATGAACAAGAAAACAGGCAGTGAAAAGTGCTGTGATGAAAACAGAACAGGGCAAAAACGCCTGCAGCTCACTTCAGAGTGGCTGGTCAGGGAGGGCCTCGCTTAG